TCAATTTCTTTGGACGTTAAGTCCTCATACACTGGTTCCAGTGCAAGCTTTAGTTACTAAGAGTTAGTTGGAAGCCCAGTCTTCAGTTGAGGGCCCCGTTGTATTACTCTCTGGGTGAAGAGACAGGTGGGGACAGTAAGTCACACCTGTGAGGTACAAGGTGATTTCTTTATTCGTTTTGATTTGATATCTCTGATCCCGCTAAGGTTACACATACAAGGTCATGCTGCAACGTTTTTTTTATTCGTAAACAATAACTAGACTTTTTCGATATGAACAGTTTATTAAACCTCACGCATCAGACAAATTCCAATCATTCTATACCTAAGCTCATAGTTATTACCCCATTTCACCTTGCTTCCCCCATCTTCCCGAGGCAAGGGAGTTAATTGACTATAAAAGTCCATTTTCCACCCTTGCCGAACTAGGCTGGAAGTTCTGGGCTCAATCGTAGCGCTACCAGTGGCAATTACGAGTTATGTCCCGTCTATGTCCCTCTTATTGACCAATCAGATTCAACCTCTCATATCACTTGCCATTGCTTCAAACAAAATGGCAGCGCCCAGTCAAGACGAACTGATTGATAATCAAAATCTATGTTGTAATAAAATGGGCCTTTCTTCGCGAAGTTCATCAAATCACGTGAGCACCTTGATTAAAACAACAGATTTGGAAAATATCTGTTAGCGCGTTCTGATTGGACTATGCATAGACTCGTTAGTCTAGCCAAAATAAACTGCATAATTCCAGCCTAGTTCAGCAAAGGTGGAAACTGGACTTTTAAAATCAGTTAAATCCCTTGCCTCGGGAAGTTGCAGCTCACTCAACAACAGACATTACATTCGAGTTATATAGCCTAGCCATTTGCAATGTACGATTACAGACAGGTCGTTGTCCCCATGAGCGTGGTGTCACCTGACCACTTTTGATTCGAAAACACGAAACATAAACTTAGCTCCTCTTCATTTAACGACCTTTCATTGATTCGAAAACGCAAAGCATGAAATGGCAGACGACAAATTGATAAGAACAAGAACTGCTAAAACAAGATAACGGCGGGGACTGGTACAGTTACTTAACGTGAAAGTTGTATTCCACAGTATGAAATGAGATTATTTTCCACGAAAAATGAGTTATAGCAGAATGGCAAACTTTTATTCCGAATATTTCAGAAATTCAAATAACACAAAAAATATGGCGATATTAAACTGATCGGTAAATAATGTGTGTCAAAACTTTATTTTTTTAAACAAAATTATGGACTATGATTCTTTTTATTAAAAGTTTATTTTCAAAGAATCACGCTAAAATGGCGCCACGCTGAAATGGCACCAAATTGTCCCAGGGAAACAGAACCACAATGTGAAGTAAGTGGAAACCTGAAGAGCGAGCGCCATGGCATATTTTGTATCACAAATTTGTAATTCGGCATCTAAGTAAAGAACAAAGGCATCTCGGACACCCAAATATTGGCACTGAAATAACATTTGGAAGAAAAAATGTTTTTTTAAATGTCTTCAGTTGCATTTGTCTAAGCATTTCAAAACCTTACTGGTGCAACTTTAACAGGCATTAAAATACACAAGAACCATCTTTTTGTTGTGGATAGGCAAACAACGCTTCGGAGTATCGTTCTCTTTCATTAACGAGATGACGAATACATTTGTGTGCGTGTGTGGTGGTAAACTGTGGTCATTATTCTAATCAGCGATGTCGCTTTGTAAATCTGCCCCAGAGATCGAGTTGTATTTTCTTCTTATTAATTCCAGTGGCAAACGTATGTTTCTAATCAGATCCGAAGAACTAGTGAAACCATAGCTTTATATGTTTTAATAATGTTTATACGAAAAGGAAAAACAATGCTTAGTCCTTTCATCAATTATGGTATAATAGGTTAATTTATATGTTTATTAATAACTCATATTTTTTTCTGAATGTGTACTAAAATAGTGCATTATCACTTTTATTTGTTTCAATTTCATATTTTTTAAATATATTTTTAAAGGAAGTATTTCGATCATTTAATATTTTCCCAAAGCGCAGCAGTAATGTGTGTCTGTGTGCATGTTCGCTTGTTATTCAACTGGTGCAACCAATTGCCCCATGGCCAGAATCTTCATATGCTGACTGGCCAAGCTAACTCCTATTGATAAACTGCATGCTTTGATGACACTGCATACTCTCTCAGCACACGAACTGACAGAACTGATCAGACCTGCAAGGAAAAAAGTTGCGTATATCAGGTGAGTTAAACGAATACAATCTCTATTTTGTGTGGTATTGAAATAAAACAGTATGTTTAAAGTGTTCTATTAAGTAAACTAAATGTACGTAATCCGTTATGTCTAATTATGTAAATCTGCATAAGGTAAGCTAAACAACCATTATTTATCACTAAAATAGTATATCACTTCAATGAAATATGTGTCGAAGTGTTTTACTTCTAGAATGTTTTAAAAAGCTTTGTGATGTACAGATTACCGTGTTCAATAGATTATATGTTAAATAGTGTTTTAGTTTATATATTAGTTATTCAGATCCATGACTTTGGTGTTGCCCTAAGTGTGGCAGTGGGGAGTGACACCCTTGTGTCCACTGTGGTTGTGTCACCTAAAGGGTATGCATTGCATTGTTTATATTTGTCTAGGACTTAAGGTGTAATCTAAATATTAAATATATATATATATATATATATATATATATATATATATATATATATATATATATATATATATATATATATATATATATCATTAAGTTCTGTCTTAAAGTATTGTATATGTTAACACAGAATGTGTAAGCATTGTGTATTTATTTTGTGCATTATAGTCAATATAAAAGTCAAGGAGTTATCTCCCTTGGATGTCAGTCTTGTGTATCATGTTTATTACTGTATATGCTCTAGTATAAGCGTCTAGCGCACAGTCTGTCTAGTGTTTTAATGGATGATTGATATGTAATACTTACGTGTGATAAGCCAATGCTATGTATATGTATGTAGCGTTGATGATAATGTTGTACCTATTATTTATTGTGCAATTATGTGTTACACGGTGTCTTAAATCTTAGATAATTGATCTTTGATCTCCTAAAATAACGGCAACGCATTAAAGACCTCAACTCCGTAGCGTTTATTCACTTTACGAAACGACATCCACTACACTGCTAGATAGATAGCTAGATAGCTAGATAGATAGATAGATAGATCGATCGATAGATAGGATATAGATATTCTGCGCATTGCTTCAGGGCGATTTGCACAAATGCCATAAAAAAGGGGGGGGGGGGGGGGGGAGGGGCTAAGCGCGATTGATACATGAGAATGCGTGCACACAAACTAGAGAATATGTTGTATCACATAGGGGACATGTCGCTCTAGAACTGGCAGTATCATCCTATGGTCCTTGCAAGCAGACTCGGGGGTGGGGGTGGGGGGGTTGACCTTAGACAGGTGTGGGGTAACCATGGCAGAATGTATCGGCCCCCGACATACCACCTCGGGTAATTCCCTATTCCAAACTATTAAATCACATTTTACACTAATCAGGTTAAAATGTGTGCTTCTAATGTTCTCGGGGAATGACACTTTTGTATTATATTAATGTCAATTAATTAAGATGTATTTTTATTTTCTAAACTATTTTCTAAATATAAAAGAAAGAGCGGACTGAAGTACTTGAATTGTGTGTGCGAAGTATTTTACGCGCGTTTCAGATGGATGATAATTGTCTCGACAATCTGAGAGGGGTTATGACCAATCTCATTAAAATCAGATCTTAGTTTTAGCTTTTGTTTAGCGATAGCGAGAACTAAGATCTGATTTTAATGAGATTGGTTTAGGACCGTTGTATTTATATAACATTATGTAACGGCCATTTACTACCTCTCATGTCAAAGATGTACTTTGCGTGCAGTTCGCAACACATTTGTACAACATATACAACGCCTTCTAGTTCTCAGTCAAGTGATCAAAACTAAATGATGATGTTTATTGCAAGTAAAATGGATGTTTCTTGAAAAGCGCACCCTGCAATTTGTGTCATTGCTGTAATGTCCCTTATCGGCGGAATGACTTGTTTTCACTTGATTAGTGTTCGAATACATGCAGCTATCTTCGTTAATTAATCATCGCGATGTTTCGTGATTGTGTTGCAAGTGGCGAGGACTATAGTGTATTATCGTGATGTCAGCAGACACGCTCCCCTCGGAACCATCGGAGGTTACTAGTGTTCCATATTATTCACTGTTCTTTGCGATTTGTCGCGTAGCTATCTTAAACGACGAGTGATCGTTGTTTATCGTTTAAGAAAACACTGGAGAGAGAATAAACCACGAGGGGCGCACGTGGTCGTTCTTTGTCGTATACAATAAAACACTGCAGGGAGAATAAACCAATCCGTGGATTGTCTGGTCCAGACATAATTATTTACAGACCGCCGTCATATAGCAAAATATTGCTGAGTGCGGCGTAAAGCAAAGAAAAAAACCAAAATAAAAACAACAAAACCAAAAAAAACAACCCAAAAACAACAACAAGAAAACAAAACAAAGCTAGTGCTAGCATGTGTCCTAACTATATATTAAGTGTCCATGGTGTCATCTGAGTGATAGATGGCCCATAGTTCAAATTATGTGGCAGACTTGGCCTTCTGCACTATTCATTCCGATCGAGCTTGCCGTCGGCGATAAGATGGATATGAAGAGGCAACACGTGCGATTCTTTCTTCAGGAGCGGGTTTGATTATGCTGTAGGTTAAAGCTGTTACCTGTTACGCAAGTCATTTTCTGATAAGATAAGATTAAACAATAATGTAGATCTATATATTTCATTACACAGCAGTCGTTACCCGTAAACTGAGTTCTAACAGCTGCTAGACATACATGATTTTCCAAATTATATTTCCGAACCAGTTAATAATTCACAAATTGTATATTGCGTTGTGTGAGACGGGGCCCAGCTTATGTGTACCTGCCCTACCCAACCAGCCGAAAACCAAGACAATCTTCCTACATCGACAGCCAGTTTGGTGGGTGACGAAGGTGTCACGCGCTGGGAAGGAAATGAAGGATTATCTCCCCTGAATGTTCGTCTTGCGTTTGTGGATATGGAAACATATACTTTTGCAGTTGTTGGAGGAGGAATAGCTGGAATTTCCTGTGCCGAGACGGTGTGTATATGATATGATGGTAATTAAATGTAGAGTGGCTAGAGCCACTTTACCACATCACTGGCACCAACAATAATGGCCAATGTAGGCCTTCTCAAATTATAAGCGGATAGTGTATTGCGTATCCTAAATTCGTGAGTATTCTAAGTTCGTGATGTTAACAAACCACAAAACCTGCGTTTTGATTGCTTCGCTTTGAGAAGTAGGTCATGTACAGGTGAGGTTATGGAGTGGTACCTTACTTCCGTTTACCCTCATAAAATTCTTACACTTAATCAGGCCAAAATTGCTTGGAGAAAAGGGCACCAAATTGCTCTAGGTAACAGTGCAGTTGTCCGGGCGCAGGTTTAATGTAGCGCTAATCCCTTAGCCCTTGAATCCCCTTTGATTGATTTTTAGAAAGTTTTATAGGTGTTCGGGCAACTAGGCCCATGTACACCTTGCCCATAATAAAGGTTTGCTAAGTACCTAGATAGTTCATAGAGTAGTGAAACTGCCACACGCTTTAGGTTAGGAATTAAGAATGTCTCCTTAAGACAAAACATCTGGGTCAAAACTTAATACAAACTTTAAATCCTGGACCGTTAGCACTGAGTGATCTAGCATCAAGAGATCCATAAGAAGGATGGATTAAGACTTCCATTGTTGACCCTTAACCATGCTCGTCAGATCATCAGGGGACAATCTTAACCCCAAGAGGGACTGGGCAGCTGACGCTATCGTCTGAAGACCATCAGACTTGAATGCACGAGTAGTGCCAAGATTAGCAACTATACAAATAACAAAGTTGAGAAAGTCAACAGGAGAGACATTGTTAAATAGAGGTTTGCAAGATGACTCAGGCATGATGTCAACAACAGGATCAGTCTGACATTCAACTTCAAGAGTCTCAGTCTGAGTACTAGCAGTCACCATGACTGGAGAAGACACAACATCTAAAATTGTAACAACCTGAGACAGTGGTTTAGCTGCAGGAGGTGGTTTAGGGACTGCTGGAACCTGAGCGACATCAAAATCTCCACGCACCTGTCGAACAGCCTGAGAATAAGACAACTTACCCTCCACTCGGACTTTCTGAATCTGGACAGCTTCCTGGTATTTAATGCAACCTTTATATGCCGCAGAGTGTGCACCACCACAGTTCTTACATTTAAGGGAACTTTCATTGCACTCCTCGTATTTGTGCTTCCCTCCACATTTAGCGCACACATGATGAGTGCTTCTACACTTAGCAGAGACATGCCCAAAGGACTGACACTTGAAGCATCGAAGAGCAGGAGGAACATATATCCGGATTGGAAATCTCTGGAAGAAAATGACAACATGATCCGGTAAAGACTGGCCAGTAAATGTAAGAAGAACAGATTTGGTGGGAACTTTATCAGGCCCACGAGTCAGACGCACAGCAGAGCACATTAGAGGTAACACAGGTTTCAACTCGTCCTCAATTTCATTCATCTCAATATCCAGATCAATACCATAGATGACTCCACGTGTTCTCATTAAGGATTCAGGCTCATGAGGGGTGACAAAATGTTCATCAAGTTCTGTGACTTGCAAAAGTGTTTTGGCAGCCTCAACGGTTTTTGCAGTGACACTAACATCTCCCCTGGCCATCCGCTTAACACTGACTATTTCTGTAGTGATCTTAGCCAAGGCTCTAGCCAAAGCACGCTGTGTCATAAGTTGACAGAGGGTCGGTGAACCATCATCATATTCATCTACATCGGCTTTGAAGATAACAGTGGTTGATTTGACCCGCGCTGGCTTATCAAAGACAAAAGTAAGATCAGACCTTGCAGTAGGAGGGACAGTATTTGGTTGCTTGGCAACACAGGCTTTTTTAGAAGTACCATCTGAAGCCACCACTTTAAATCCTTCCTCACATTCCATTCTGTTGTCAGCCATTGTCGAGGACAATCCCCAACAACTGACTGTAACAATCAGCAAACACCAAATAGAAATTAAAAGTTTGAATGCACTCCAACACAAGAGAAATCAAAAGCCAAAGAACAAAAGAGGAAGTATCATAAACAATAAGTGTGTTGTATAACACTAGACAAGTTGCTGAGAAGCAAAAGACGTCCGAACTCGACGGCAGTCAAGACCGAACTCCTTGAATCCCCTGTTGTGGAGACAAAATAATAAAAACAAAAGAAACATTGTTTTGTTTCCTGTAACATGAACATTTAGCATAAACGCCCCATGCTTCGTGGAAATCAGATCGTGGCATTAGTTTCACGTGCAGAAAATGAATGCTGACACGTGATGCATTGCAATCGTCAGTGCAGGTTTTTTGTTCGTTGGAGCAAGACACACTTTATGGTCGTTGACCAATATTCTCGTTCTTTATACGAACTAGATGTCGTTGGACCAATATTCGTGGTCTTGGTATCAACTAGATGGGACAATATACGTGGCCCTTAGAAACATAAAGTGTGTACTTGCTCCTATAGTCAATTATTCATTCCTGCATTTGTGGTCATGGACCTTGCATAGTTTCTTTATTTTTCATTAAGAAGAGAATCACATTTAGTTCCCCACATGTCATAAAAAGGGAATCACGTTTAGTTCCCCATTATGTCATAGGAAGAGAATCATGTTTAATTCCCCATTAATCGTATAATTTCCAGTGGAGTAGAAAAGACAAAAGGTAGACACGTGAACGTTGCCTTCCACTGCGCAACAAACATTAGTAGCAGAGCGTGGTTACAAACGTGGTTTTCTGCTTATTGAGTGTATATATTTTGTCTTTCTTACTTTACTTTGATGGTTCAGATGGTTTCTTTGTAAATCATTTTTCATTACATTACCTGTGAATATAAGGCTTTATAGGCCTACATTTAAAAAAGGATATTGTCTCATAGTTCGGAATCAAAAGTGGATTCTAAAGGATCAGAATCCCCAGATGACAGTGATAAAGTCCAAAAGTTCTAAATCAAAAGTGGATTCCAAAATGGCTGAATCCACAGATGATGATTTAGATGTCATAATAGCAGCTTTAAGGCAACAAAAGACAGTTGCTAAATCAGCGTTGACAAAAAATAAGAATAAATTGTTGGAGTTGCTTGAACAAGAACTTCCAACACGTAAAACAATAAGGGAAACAATTGATAAAGTATGTTCTCTTCACAGTCAAGCTGTTTGTATAATTGTAAAGCTCTCGAAGGCTTACAAAAAAGCTGGTAAAGTTGATAAGGCGAAGAAAACAAGCATTGAAATAGATGAAATTGAGGAAGTCATAGATTCAGCTATTGACAAAGCACAAGTGTATATTAGCAACACGTTGATTCTAGTTCGTCTAAGTCTATGCTATCGGGAATACCTGATATATACTCTTCAAAAAAAGAATCTTGACACTGACTTTCAAAATGTAATATAATGCGATTGTTTCAAAATAGGACACAGAAACCATAATTGAAACACTGTTTGAAGATCAATGTACACAATATTCAAAACATTTAATCATGTCACCTAGACAGACACACGTACACGATACAGTTAATGTCACAGGGGTACAGAAAATGTCAGTATCGGTTGTGCCCACCACGTGCATCAATCGCCGCTTGACACCGACTACCCATAGATGCAATCAAGTTGTCAATAACACACTGTTGGATGTGCTGCCATTCATGCTGAAGTGCATCAAGAAGCGCCGGAAGTGTTTTGGGCGGTGGATTCCTTCTGCGAACGCGTCGATCCACCTCGTTCCACAGATGCCCAATCGGGGACAAATCTGGTGACCGGGGTGGCCAAGGTAATGTCTGGATGTTGTTGTGCTGTAAGAAGTCCTGACAAACACGTGCAATATGCGGTCGAGCGTTGTCCTGCTGGAACTGTACGCCATGAACGTTGACGTGAGGAAGAATGTAAGGCTGTAGGCCGTGATGAATTCCTGCCCATACCATGACACTCCCGCCGCCAAATGGGACAACCTGCTGCACACAGTTGGGGGCGTAACGTTCACCCCGACGTCTGTAGACACGTGCGCGCCCATCAGCACGTGTGAGTAGGAAACGGGACTCGTCAGTAAACAGTACATTTCTCCACCTTGCACGTGCCCATCTAACCCTCTGTTGGCACCAAAGCAGACGGTCCGCCAGATGATGTTGGGTCAATACATGACGTCGAACAGGTCTTCGTGCAAAAAGTCCAGCCTCCCTCAGTCTGTTGCGTACCGTTTGATCTGATATTCTGCGTACCCCAGGGATCTGTGTGGTTGTAGACGTGGCTGTGGAAGTGCGGTCTCGGAGGTGTTGCAGCCGGATTTATCGATCTTGTGCTTGGGTTGTCACCCTTGGTCTTCCTTACCTTGGTCTGTCGTCAACTCTGTTGGTGTTTTTGTATCGGGTCCACAGTGCGGAGATTGTCTGTCTGGATACGCCAAAGTGCCTGGCCACTTCTTGCTGAGTTGCTCCAGCTTGTAATCTCCCAGTGGCGTTGTTCCGTTGAGCTGCATTCAGTCTTGGCATTCTGTCACCGCCTCTACTGCTGTTATAAGGACTGTATGAACAGCCGTTGATGTGGATTTTTATACCCATTCAGCAGGGGGGCCTGCATGCCTAAATGCAGGATCCTGTGCTGCACAATTTTTACAGGCGGTTGCGTTTGGATGAAGCTGTAAAATTGATCCCCAAACGCTACGTTTATGTGCTTTGCATGTGTTTTTCGCGAATTATAGACACATCATCTTTCTGTTTGACTTATTTGGTTCTCATTTAATGTAATCATTTTAGATATTTGGCAAAAAGTGGTTTTACATCTATGTCAAGTTTCTTTTTTTGAAGTGTATATTTCATTCAGAAAAAAGTCAAACTTCTCATGGAGCAAAAGGTAGTAAACAGGCGTTTGATAAGGGAGCGAGTGTTGATGGTGCTCAGAGCTGCAGTTCTGATGGTAAGTACACACAGCAAAAATCTAAGAATGATGAACAGGTTCCACATCCCAAACCAGAAATTGACGGAACTCTTGATTCGAGACTTCCGTGTCACAGATATCAT